TTGAAGTTGTGATAATTTCACCAACTATCAACAAATTAAACGAAATCCAAACTTATGAAATATTTCGCTACCAAAGCAAGCATAAAGGACATCCGACGAATGCTATTTATGTGATCATCCATGATAACTTGTAAAATACCTTCAAAACGATGTTAATATACCACTCGGTTGATGTTCAATGAAAAGTGTGATTTCTGGTGCTGAGTTCAAGTGAATCTTTTTTTTTGCTCTCAGGATGACGAGCGATCAACAACCCAGTCACAACGCAGTCGTGATCCACATTCATTTATTCCTTCACTAACGTGAGTTCAGTCACTTACTCAACGCAGTCGTAGTCCATCGCATCCTACTTCTTAGAACATGATTACCGTTCATAGTTCTCATTCTCATAACAACTTCACTTCAGTTGATTCGATCATAACTTTCGATACAATAGGCTCTTCTTAACATTGAATGTCTTTTCTTAGAATACTTTTCCCAATCATCATAATCATATTTTGCTCTTGAGAGTGATCAAATGAACTGATCAATTGTTATTGCGAGCCCTCCTCTTATATTCTACCATAGTCATGGTCTATAGTTGCTTAAAAATTCCGAAATCCAAGAATTAAAAAAATTGCATGTTATTCAGTAGTGTAAGTGAAGAGGCACAAATGGAACAGCTGGATGATGCGGAACAACAGCATGATGAGTCACCACAAAAGATATCTGCACTGAAACTCAACTGGAAACAACGGTTACTCGTATGCATTGGATGGACTGATCTAAAAAGGTTCGTCCAGACGAAATGCGAATCATTATTATATCTTGTTATATCCATCCACTAGCTCTGTCGTATAGATACCGATGCAGTATTCGAGATGTATCTAGACACATCTTTGAGACCTATAATTATCAATGAGGCGTGAATTAAGGATAAGGGAGCAACAGCAACAACAGCAAGAACAAGACAATAAAGCAAAAGAAGGAGTTGACCGCTCCTCGCCAGTCTCTGGCATGAAATCTACT